TGGTGGGACACTGGCTGCTGGCCCCCAAAAGCAGAACCATTTTGGGGCACGTGGAGCTGAGTGTGTGACCTGCTTTCCTTGCTACAGGTAATGAAAATGGTGATGACCATAACAGCGGGAGAATCGGGCTGCATCCACTATGTCAAACGCCCAGGGGCAGTGCTGGATCCGGGCTGTGTGATTGCCAAGCTCCAGCTGGATGATCCCAGCAGGGTTCAGCAGGTGAGGAGGTGCAGGAAGCACAGATGTTTGTGGGGTTTTATTAGGGGAGTGATGTCCAGAGTGGTACAAGATGGTCTGGTGAGCCAATTTCCCATTTGTGCATTGTACTGGAATTGTCACTTTGCCATTTGTTTGTCTCAGGTGAGGACTGGGACTGGGATTATTCTCTCTCTCTCTGATTCAGGCTGAGTTTATCTGCCATTCTTGGTCTCTCAGTGCTGTTATGGGGGGTGTATCTCTCAACCCAGCGCATTTCCCACTCTGGGAATCCTTGCAAATCCAAAACCCGAGTCTCCAGCCCACAGCTGGTGCCCCACAGGAGGGTCAGCGAGGYTGTTYCTCATTTCAGGCTGAGCTGCACACRGGAACCCTGCCCCAGATCCAGAGCACGGCGCTGCGGGGTGAGAAACTCCATCGCATCTTCCACTACGTGCTGGACAACCTGGTCAAYGTGATGAACGGCTACTGCCTGCCAGAGCCCTTCTTCAGCAGCAAGGTACCCATGGGGGCTCTGAGGAGGATTCACCAGGTTCTCACAGCTCAGGGCAGTTTGTCTGTCACACCCAGAGCACCCCTGAGATGGGATGTTGGACATCTCCCCTCTCCTTTTGCCCTTTTTTTTTGTTGGTTATTCTCTTCTCCGTGCTTGTCTTTACACTGCCTCATCTCTGGCCAGGTGAAGGGCTGGGTTGAGCGATTAATGAAGACCCTGAGGGACCCATCTTTGCCCCTGCTGGAACTCCAGGACATCATGACCAGCGTTTCTGGGAGGATCCCCCCCAATGTGGAGAAATCCATCAAGAAGGAGATGGCCCAGTATGCCAGCAACATCACCTCGGTCCTCTGCCAGTTTCCCAGCCAGCAGGTGACCTGTGGAGGGATAAAAATCRGGTTGTGTTGGGGCAGAGAGAGAGAAAGTTCCTTTAAATTACATGGGGGCTAATTAGACCCAAAAGGWGTGTTTGAACATGGGGTATTYGTGAAAAAAKAGATTTTCCTGTATGGCTCAGAGGKTTGTCTCTGCCTGTGCTGAAGGGGACAGGTTCCCTGCTCAGGGTGCTTTGAATAGACACTTTGGAAACACTTTAATCTTGTCAGTGGCTTTGTGGGTGTTTTATCTGTTTGCTTTTTGTCTGGCACATGTGGTGCAGTGCAATTTGTAGCACCAGTGTAACCTCAGAGCAGAATGATTGCAGCCAGGGTGGGTGAGGAGATGCTGCAAGCCGATTCCTCCTCTGTACCATGCAGGGCATTGATTTTTGTGTCACTTTGTGGCACTTTCTGGACTCTGCTGGGGCTCTGAGCTGTCCCTGCAGGGCTGGGATGTCACCTTCCCTTCCCTTTTCAGATTGCCAACATCCTGGACAGCCACGCGGCCACCCTGAACCGCAAATCRGAGCGCGAGGTGTTCTTCATGAACACGCAGAGCATCGTGCAGCTCGTGCAGAGGTGAGGCCCTGCCTGCCAGGGTGTCCTGCAGAGCAGGAGCTGTCCCAGAAGGGATGGAAGGGGTTTGGGGTCATTCAGCTTCACTCAGTGTGGGGTTGGTTTAGGGTCATTCAGCTTCACTCAGTGTGGGGTTGGTTTGGGGTCAATCAGCCTCATTCAGTGTGGGGTTGGTTATGGGATTATTCAGCCTCACCCAGTGTGGAGTTGGTTTGGGGTCAATCAGCCTCAGTTCAGGGTTGGTTATGGGGTCATTCAGCCTCAGTTCAGGGTTGGTTATGGGGTCATTCAGCCTCACCCAGTTCGGGGTTGGTTTGGGGTCATACAGCTTCATTCAGTGTGGAGTTGGTTAGGGGATCATTCAGCCTTACTCAGTGTGGGGTTGTTTGTGGGGTCATTCAGCCTCACCCAGTGCAGGATTGGTTTGGGGTCATTCAGCCTCACTCCATATAGTGTTGGTTGTGGGATCATTCAGCTTCACTCAGTGTGGCGTTGGTTTGGGGTCATTCAGCCTCACCCAGTGTAGGGTTGGTTTAGGGTCATTCAGCCTCACCCAGTGTGGGGTTGGTTTGGGGTCATTCAGCTTCATTCAGTGTGGGGTTGGTTATGGGGTCATTCAGCTTCACTCAGTGTGGGGTTGGTTATGGGGTCATTCAGCCTCACCCAGTGTGGGGTTGGTTTGGGGTCAATCAGCCTCACTGAATGCGGGGTGGTTTTGGGGTCATTCAGCTTCACCCGGTGCAGGGTTGGTTGTGGGGTCATTCAGCCTCAGTTCAGGGTTGGTTTGGGGTCATTCAACCTCACCCAGTGCAGAGTTGGTTGTGGGGTCATTCAGCCTCAGTTCAGGGTTGGTTTGGGGTCATTCAGCCTCAGTGTGGGGTTGGTTTGGGGTCATTCAGCCTCACTCTGCGTGGGGTTGGTTTGGGGTCATTCAGCTTCACTCAGTGCGGGGTTGGTTATGGGGTCATTCAGCCTCAGTTCAGGGTTGCTTTTTGGGTCATTCAGCCTCACTCAGTGTGCGGTTGGTTATGGGGTCATTCAGCCTCACTCAGTGTGGGGTTGGTTATGGGGTCATTCAGCCTCACTGCAGGGTTGGTTTGGGGTCATTCAACCTCAGTTCAGGGTTGCTTTTTGGGTCATTCAGCCTCACTCAGTGTGGGGTTGGTTATGGGGTCATTCAGCTTCACTCAGTGTGGGGTTGGTTTGGGGTCATTCAACCTCAGTTCAGGATTGGTTTGGGGTCATTCAGCCTCACTGACTGTGGGGTTGGTTATGGGGTCATTCAGCCTCACTCAGTGTGGGGTTGGTTATGGGGTCATTCAGCCTCACTCAGTGTGGGGTTGGTTATGGGGTCATTCAGCTTCACTCAGTGTGGGGTTGGTTTGGGGTCATTCAGCTTCACTCAGTGCGGGGTTGGTTATGGGGTCATTCAGCCTCACCCAGTGCAGGGTTGGTTTGGGGTCATTCAGCCTCACCCAGTGCAGGGTTGGTTTGGGGTCATTCAGCCTCAATGCGGGGTTATTTTTGGGGTCATTCAGCCTCACCCAGTGCAGGGTTGGTTATGGGGTCATTCAGCTTCACTCAGTGTGGGGTTGGTTTGGGGTCATTCAGCCTCAGTGCAGGGTTCTTTTTGGGGTCATTCAGCCTCAGTGCAGGGTTGGTTGTGGGGTCATTCAGCCTCAGTGCAGGGTTGGTTTGGGGTCATTCAGCCTCACCCAGTGCGGGGTTGGTTTGGGGTCATTCAGCCTCAATGCGGGGTTATTTTTGGGGTCATTCAGCCTCAGTTCAGGGTTTGTTTTGGGGTCATTCAGCCTCACTGAGTGCAGGGCTGGTTGTGGGGTCATTCAGCCTCAGTGCAGGGTTTGTTGTGGGGTCATTCAGCCTCACCCAGTGCAGGGTTGGTTTGGGGTCATTCAACTTCACCCAATGCAGGGTTGGTTTGGGGTCATTCAGCCTCAATGCGGGGTTATTTTTGGGGTCATTCAGCCTCAGTTCAGGGTTTGGTTTGGGGTCATTCAGCCTCAGTGCAGGGTAGGTTGTGGGGTCATTCAGCCTCACTCCGTGCAGTGTTGGTTTGGGGTCATTCAGCTTCATTCAGTGCAGGGTTGGTTTTGGGGTCATTCACCCTCAGTGCAGGGTTGGTTATGGTGTCATTCAGCCTCATTCAGTGTGGGGTTGGTTATGGGGTCATTCAGCCTCAGTTCAGGGTTGGTTTGGGGTCATTCAGCCTCAGTTCAGGGTTGGTTTGGGGTCATTCAGCCTCAGTGCAGGGTTGGTTATGGGGTCATTCAACCTCACCCAGTACTGGGTTGGTTTAGGGTCATTCAGCCTCACCCAGTGCGGGGTTGGTTTGGGGTCATTCAGCCTCAGTTCAGGGTTGGTTTGGGGTCATTCAGCCTCACCCAGTGCAGGGTTGGTTTGGGGTCATTCAGCCTCAGTGCAGGGTTGGTTTGGGGTCATTCAGCTTCACCCAATGCAGGATTGGTTATGGGGTCATTCAGCCTCACCCAGTGTGGGGTTGTTTTTGGGATCATTCAGCCTCAGTTCAGGGTTGTTTTTGGGGTCATTCAGCCTCAGTTCAGGGTTGTTTTTGGGGTCATTCAGCCTCACCCAGTGTGGGGTTGGTTTGGGGTCATTCAGCCTCAGTGCAGGGTTGTTTTTGGGGTCATTCAGCCTCAGTTCAGGGTTGTTTTTGGGGTCATTCAGCCTCACCCAGTGTGGGGTTGGTTTGGGGTCATTCAGCCTCAGTTCAGGGTTGGTTTGGGGTCATTCAGCCTCACCCAGTGCAGGGTTGGTTTGGGGTCATTCAGCCTCAGTGCAGGGTTGGTTTGGGGTCATTCAGCCTCACCCAGTGCGGGGTTGGTTTGGGGTCATTCAGCCTCAGTTCAGGGTTGGTTTGGGGTCATTCAGCCTCACCCAGTGCAGGGTTGGTTTGGGGTCATTCAGCCTCAGTGCAGGGTTGGTTTGGGGTCATTCAGCCTCAYTCMGTGYRGKGTTGGTTWKGGGWYWWT